GGCAAACCTGACGGCCGCAATGAAACGTCGATAGCTGATCTGCTGGCGGATCCGGACCGCGCATGGCGTTATATCAAGATGGCGTGTGGCGAGAACGCGAAGCGGGTGTACGGCAGGGTCGGGGAGCATGGGCCTTATAGTCGACTGGGCGAGTCTTGGGAGTTTAGACACGCGTTCGAACAGGCTGCCAACCTTGTTCAAGCCCAAGATGACTGGTGTAATGCCGCCGAGTCCGCGGGCATCGAAAGAGTGTCCAGCTATCTACCGCAAGACCTGAAGTGGGAAACGTTAGGTGCCGTGCTGCGTGGGCAGGTCCATGTGAACACGCATTGCTACACTATTCCCGACTTAGAGGCATTTGTCGACCACACAAACGAGTTCAAGTTCCCCGTGCGAGCCTTCCACCACGCCCATCAGACTTATCTCGTCCCCGAGGTCCTCAAGCGCGCCTGGGGTGATTCACCGCCTGCCGCGGCTCTCTTTGCTGATAATATGTGGTACAAAGCCGAAGCCTACATCGGCTCTGAGTATGCCGGCAAGGTTCTCTATGAGAACGGCCTGACTCCCATCTACGTGAGCGACAACCCTGTTCTCAACGCCCAGCATGTCGTATTCGAAGCCGCGAAATCGTTCGGATACGGCTTGCCCTACCACGCCGCCCTAGCATCCGTCACTACGGCGCCTGCGGAGCGACTAGGTCTCGGGCAGCGTATCGGCAAGGTCAAGCCCGGCTTCGATGCCGACGTCGTCGTATGGGATAGCGATCCGCTGAGTGTCGGCGCCACACCTGTCCAGGTCTGGATCGACGGAACCGCACAATTCGAAGATCCCGTCGAGTTGAAGAAGCCATTCAGTGCTCCTGTTGAGCCAACTACCGAAGCCCCTGCGGCTAACGAGGACGTTATTTCTGTCAGCGATGTGATATTCACGGGGATATCGAAGTCATTCCTACCATTCAAGTCGCCATCAGCCGCAGCCGATTCTCCGAACTTGACTGTTGCCATCTCAGGGGGCAAGATCACCTGCCTCGGAACCTGTATTCCTCAGCTAGAAGCAGCTTCCAAGTCCGGCACCAATATAATCTCGTTGCAGAACGGCTACATTACGAAACCGTTCACCGTGTTTGGTTCCACCATCGGCCTCAACGCCATCGACGCCGAGAGTGACACAGACAACGGCGGCGGCCCAGACGTTTTCAGCCGGGGTATCGACGGCCTGGCTTTCGACACGAAGAAACTTAGCTACGCACAAAAATACGGTGTTACGAAAGCCATCTCCTCGCCCAAGTACAACGGACAGAACACGCACCAGGGAACCAGCGTCGGCTTCCGGACGAGGGCCAAGCACATCCTCGAGCACGGGGCCATCTTCGCCGACGACGCCGCCGTGCACTACACGCTCGACCTCAACGCCAAATCCGGCAGCACCTCGCTCTCGAACGCGATCGGCTCCTTACGGCACAAGCTCCTCGAGGCCGTCGATGCCGACAACACCACCGCGGGCGCCGACCCGTTCACCGAGGCCGCCTTCCTCGCCCAAGTCGTCAACGGCACCCTCCCGCTCGCCATCACCGTGCAGAGCGCGGACGGCATCGCCGCCGTCCTCCGCCTCAAGGACACCGTGGACAGCGCCATCGCGTCGAGCGGCGGCGGCCTCTCCCTCGTCATCATCGGCGGCGCCGAGTCCCACATCCTGGCCGCCGAGCTGGCCGCCGCGGACGTCGGCGTCGTGCTCAGCCCCTTCCTTTCGTACCGGTCGACCTGGGACCAGCGGCGGGCGCTCACGGGGGCGCCGCTCACGAACGGGACGGCCGTCGATGCGCTTGTGGCCGCCGGCGTGCGCGTCGCTATTGGTATCGAGGAGGACTGGCTTGTTCGGGACGTCGGGCTGTTGGCCGGGATCGCGTATAAGAACGGTGGGGGCGTGTTGGGCGAGCGGGATGCGCTGGACTTGATTTCGCAGAACGTTTATACGTTGTTGGGCCTGAAGGCCAAGGACGAGGAGGAGGTGAGAAGCGAGTTCGTCGTCTTTGAGGGGAGTCCGTTGGAGGTTGGGGCTCGTGTCAGGGCTGTCGGGGACGGGTTAGGGGAGGTTACGCTGTTTGTTTAGTTTGATGTCTGGGTAGTTAGGTGTATAGCACATACTTCGAGGTACTATGGCTGCTATGCTCGTGCCTGGATGAGGTTAATGTGCAACCCCCTATGATCCTTGGCTGTAGAATCCATGATTTTGACTGTATACTAAGTAAGTCAAGTTCCAGGAACTGCTTTGCTTTGTACAGCGTAATCTATAGTGCTGAATCTGCATTGGAGATCACCTAGAGACTGAAATAATCATTATATTAGATGGTATTATATAAGCGATGTCTTACTGGCTTGCTCAGTATATACGGGGTATCAAACTAAATCAATCTCCTCCACCATAATGCCAGATTTCCTAAATATGTCCACGTCTACAGTGTCATTCTTGAATAACTCCTCGATACCTGGTTCCTGCAAAAGACCCTTGTCTACCATTCTATTTAATAGCAGCGGTATCCTATCGTCTGTTCCCCGTTCGTCCATGTTGCCTCTCTCCATGGGAAGGAATACGTATTTGTCGCCTTCTACGTCATATTGGAATACCTGACGAATATTACGAGGTAGATCCCCGAGGACAGCCTGCCCCTCCATAAGCCCATGGACGTGACATTCTCCGACAACGCGGTATTGACGCAGGGACGTCTCCTCCATACGACAAAGCAACATGGGCGTCGAGGAGCCAAACATAGTGCAGACCTCATCCCCAGGCTGTGTCCCCAACGGCGCAAGTCCGATATAGCCGTTCTCGGTCGAGATGAAAGTCCGGCCGCTACACCAATCGTGGACCGACCACAGGTACACCTCATGCTCCAAGCCGGTTATCGGCCCCTCCTCCCTTGTAAGGATCGAGTGAAAGATGGCTAACGCGTGGTCGAGGGATGCCGTCAGCGATCTCGGGGGCGAGAACTTGTCCGCGAACTCGTCGCAGCACAGGGTCCGGCAGTAGGCCTCTAGAAGGGTTCCGCCGGTTACGTACGTGTCGTCTAGGATATTCTTGGGAACGAGTCTCTGAATGCCCTCCGCCACCTGATTGCCATCGCCCGTGGGGACCGCCGCGCTCTGTTGGCCTTGAGTCGGACATAGTAGAAGCCGTCGCGAAACGACTGCCAGCTTGTTTCTTTTAGCCCGCACATGATGGCTTTGGGATTGGCGAGTCTGATCTCCTGTCGCACCCAGAGTCTCTGAAACCACTCACGGTAGAAGAGCTTTTCGATCGCGTTGAGCAACTCATCGTCTAACGTAAGCCACGAATTATGATCGAGCAGGACGGGATCGACCACGGCGAGTTTCGAGGGTCTTATCGTGGCGTTAAACCAGTCTACCTCGATCCTGGAGGAGAGGTTCTCTAAATAGTCCAGAGCGTATGCGCTATCATCCTCTTCGTTCCCGATCCAGGCGACGACGCGAGCCGCCTTTTGGAATATGCTTCCCATCATAGTGACTTGGTGGCTTCGCTCGGGGACATCGCGTTGGTTCATTGAAACGGCATCGACCCACAACACCCGTGGCCGGTCCTCGTATCGTAGATATCGAAGTGAGCTGGCTAGGTTGCGTGTGATGGATAGCAGTCCCGCATGAACTCGGATGGGCACCTTATCGTCAATAGAGCCCCAAACGTACGACAGGGCCTCGTACGGCGCTGGCTCCGATAGATCTTCATGATGTAACTCTACGTATAAATCATCGTCCCAGGGTCCAGGGTGCAGGGTGATTAGTCTTATTTCTTCTCCATGGAGAGGCGAATACCGATACGATTCCATTGATTATGATCTATTCGGGGCCTGAATCTACTCAACGATGGTGGAGAGGCTTCCAGTCATTGGGCTTACTGCGCTGACTGGAATGAATAAACCACCCCTGTCGAGGATCCTTCTCACTGATACTATGACTAAATAGGGGTGATATCCCCGGAGATGTTTTTGGACAAAAGCCTTGTAAGAGTCTTGCCTGCATACTGCGTAGTGTAAGATGCCCGACTATGTTGGTCAGTATACTCGTTGGTGTGTGCGCGATTCCTTTGAAACTACCTGGAGGTATCTATAATTAATCCTGGAAGAGAATAGTATAGACCAACGAGTACCTATAAGGGATAGTATGGCTAAAGCATTGTAATCCACCCAATAGTTACACATCCACTCTAGTACTATTTACTAGCATCACCCAGTGTTCCTTTTTTCAAGCTATCCCAATTTCCCAAAGCTTTAGAAACTCTGAATGAATGCGTCAAACTTTGTATATACGTCTATACTGCTGTGGTAGGTAAGGGTCTTAAAACCCTGTCTTGTAGTCTTAAGCCTCCCCTTGTCTAGTGTAGTGAATAAGCACGGGTATAAATTCAACCCGAAAGGTGTAGTAGACATAACGAATTCGGGTTGACACTGGAACCAATTGTTGTACTCTCCAGTTTAGATACTCTTTCAATATTCTTAACTATGTCTGACACTGGCTTAATTAATAGCATTTACCTCCAATGACTATGTTAAGCAAAGTTTGAGCAGTGTTGTGCTACCATGAAGTGCTAATTAGGTGTATGTTACACTGCTGGTGATTGACCTCTGCACGCAGTACAGTGGGTAAGAGATCTAATACCTAGGTGGGGGCCCCTATCAGTGGGTCTGTGTGTTTAGCTCCCACGAGTTTCACCACAATCAATACAACAGAATCGTAGATGCGATCAGGCTTTAGAACATCGAGTAATGAGCGGAATACTATCCCAAAAGATAATGTCGACATATCGACAATACGCCGAAAATAGAAATATACAGAGAAAACAATACTCCCATAGCCGAATGAAAATGAAATACCTTAATCACTATGGGGAGGAAGAGTTGGTAAGGCGGAGCGAGACCCTAAGCGATAATTAGGCTGGGGGTAATGGATGACAACAAGCAGCTGAAAATATCATACAAGACATTACAAGGGCTCATGGCCTAATGGTAAGGCGTCAGATTTCGGCTATCCTTCAGTTCTCCAAACATGGAGTGCAGCGTTTCTCTGAAGATTGCAGGTTCGATCCCTGCTGAGCTCGTCGAAATTTCATTCATCGAATCATTCGATGAAAACTCTTTTTGCCTCTCAACTACGTTAGTGTGTATGCCGTCAAGCGCCGATAAGCGGGTTTAGTCGAACATTACGTAGCTGAGCGGGGAAGAGTTGGAGATGAGACCCCGCATCCTGGTTTGTCGCAGACTTCCCCTCATTCACATCTGGTGCCGGTACTTAGGGCTTTTATATGACAGCAACTCTAACAGAATAGTCATCTACATGCAATCACAGTTAGTTTAGACATTGTAGTTTTCGATATGTAGTTGTCATTTTTGATATTGTGTTCGTGAATTAATAGGGGTGTTGATGGGATGGGATGGCTGGGGAACCATGGATTATTCTGCTGTTCTTTGCTGTGACTGGGGTGGTTTGGCTCGTTAGATATAACAATAGCCTCTCGATTCTAGGGAATCAGGCTGTCACTTTATACGTATACATGCGTGTCTTACTCGGAACCGAACACGCATTGTTTAACTGTATCTAGGAATTGATACTTGTCTGGGGGTAGTCGCGACTCTTGAGAGTGGTGACATTGAAGGTGGTTCTGGTAGTGATGATGGATACTAAGTAAGCATTGAGAAATAAGGGTAATATAATCATGTTAGTGAATCGTATAATTGCTTTCACACAGCTTTTGTACCGGTGGAAACTAATTAAATCTAGAGTTATCGTCCGAAAGTTATATATAATATATTACGGAAACTCGTCACTGCATGCACTTCTTGCCAATGAATGTGCTGATGTAGACTTAATCATACCATCTACCTTCCTGTCTTATGGAAATTCCTTCTCATCCTGCCCTGCCTGCGTTAGACTAGGACTTACCATGCTTGAAAAGTATGTAGCTACCATTTCCATATTATCTCCAGACAAATATTGTCTGCCCATCTCTTAACCTTGAGCTCTGGGCGAGCACCAACTTGAGCTTAGAAACAAAACCCTAACGCATAGCGAATTCGTCATTAAACGTGACGAGCGAATAGGACTCATAAGAGACCGTTCAGAGATCAGTCCTCGTGACCCCCTGAGGGAACTTAGAGACGAGTGTGAAAAGGAATACGACCGTGACCGTGTCGTGCGGCATTCGTATGTGTCTTGCAGCCTAAAATGACTACGAAAGGGCCATAGCTGACCAATACCTGAGTACGAGAAGAAATTTGGTCCTTCAGATTCCCGATAAATGCAGCTTGTAGCGCTTTTCTCCGAAAATGTGGCCATCAGATCTGTTGGCAAGCTGGATGTAGAGGATGGTCTGCTGACCGCTGACAGCATGCTTCAAAATGGCTAGCGGAAACTCAAGCTAAAGATTAACAGAATAGAACATAAGGAGAAGCATGTTAATAGGAAGTCATGACTAATTCCTCTTAACGGGGAGAGGTTCCCTTCAACTAGAACGTTGATAACATATCGAGGGGTTTCAACAGCATTCAGGGGTAAATTCAAGGTGTGTTTTATAGATTGCTACTCAAGTCAAGTTGTCGACACAGTCAAAGTCAATTCAAAGCATTACCAACTCTACTTGGAATGATTGAAGTCAAGTTGAGGCCTCAGGGAATTCAATTTAAATGGAATTAATGAAAGCACTGCAATGGAATATTCAACATATTTTGACGATAATTGTAGCAATTATAGAGCTCATGAATGTCCAGAACTTGAGAGAATAGTGGTGCCGAAGCGCAGTATAGTAAGTACATAGGGTCTTCCGGAGAATTGTACGGAGATAAGTGCGGAAAATACAGCTCAAATCAGCCTCATAAGTTGGTTATAACCAGGAAAGCACTTATTTGATGACTGCATACACAATAAATGTAATAATTCTGGAGTACAAACTATACATATACTTTATTTTTCGTGTCGGTGAGAACGGAGATAAGGAAAGCGCTGGCGACGACGACGACGACGATGACGACGATAATTCTATTTACATCCGTGAGGACGAACATCCATCTACTCTAGCCTACCTGCCTGTTGAGTAAAAGAGATTATTCTTCGTCAACGCTCCAAGGCGTATAAGGACGGCTGGCATACAATAGCAGAGCCGGCGTTCCGCGTGACATATACAAACCAAGCTGCAACGACGAGCCAGCAACGAACGAGGAAATTGAAACATGGCCAAGATCGGCCAGTATCCGTCCGCTTTCAGACACAAGTCTTCCTACGGCCAGTATATCGTTATGAGTGCGTAACATGCAGGAGGTGTATCTTGATGCAGGGTGCAATAGATCCTTGTACCAACCTGAATTGTACCAAACCAAATACGAGGGATAATGTTACATTGAGAAGCCGCTGGCTCAGCCAACACCTTTTTATTCATGCAACCGCACGAACACGAATATGTGATCATATAGAGAGTAATACAAGTTGGAGATGTAGCATATACATAACCAGTTAATGAATAAATTCATTGTTAGAAATAAAAGCGAAACACTCCTTCCTGCGTACATATATGTAACATCATGATTTATCATGCTCCAATTACTTGACATGTATTTGTTTTATCCTCCAATCTCCACTACTTTACCACAAGCGTAAAATGATGGCAGTCCTTGATATCGCTAGGCAGGCAGCATCGTATGCTGTCTGCATACTTATTACCTATGTGAGTACCAACCCATTTGAATTGTATCGTTCATAGCATTCTAACCTTTTGGTGCGGAGGCCGCTCTAGTTTTTGGTTACCGTGTCTTTCTTCATCCACTGAGGTCCTATCCAGGACCTCTTCTGGCAAAGCTCACCGATGCCCGCAATGGTTATTACTCAATGTTCAAGTGTCTTCATCTTGTTTCTCAACAGGACCATCTTGAATATGGCCCAGTCATCCGACACGGGCCTAATAAGTTACTATTCAATTCGGCCCAGGCGTTACAGGGTTTGTAGACAACCTCCACCTCATCATTACTTCATTCGCTAAGCAATAGAAGACATTTATGGCAGCGATAGAATCGTCAAATCGCGCGTGTATTCAGTCACGATACAGTCTCCCGGGGTCTTCAACTCTTTCAATATTATCGACCGGCAACCTCACCGGGCGAAGCGCAAGATCGTCAATCAGCTGCTCAACGAGCGATCCGTTAGGACCTTCGAGCCTATCATGATAGAACAAGTCGACATGTTGATCAATCTACTGCTTGTATCCTGCAAAAACACGGAATGCCCTGAACCAATGAACATGACTGTTCGTCTGGAGTATCTTGCTTGCGATATCATCGGATTACTCTCATTTGGATATCGCCTAAGGCTACAGACGGACCCTACCTGTCGCTTCATGGTAAGAGGGATGTATTTCGGCAATTACTACACCAATACTCGCATGCAGTTCTTCCGCCTGCATCAGCTCCGGCTTGGGTCTATCGTACATTATTTCAACAGCGCTATGCGGGAGCGTTATAAGAAGCTGATAGAGACCATGATTACCACTCGTATCTCCGAAGAAAAGTACGCCAGGCATGACCTTTATGCAGTTGCCTCTAGAGCTAATGCCGAGGCCCTCAATCCGGGCGACGGCCTCCGCATGAGTGAACTTTGGTCTGAAGCGATATCGCTCTTCCCAGCAGGTTCGTCATTGGCCCCCCCCTCCCCCCCCTTTCTACACAAATCTTGCATACTAAATGTCTTTCTGTATAAGGCGCTTTTTCAACGTCTGGTGCTATAAGTGCCCTATTCTTCTACTTGTCACGGAACCCAAGATGCTACAAACGACTCGCCGATGAAGTTCGCTCGAGATTTACGAGCGGTGCCGATATTCGGAGCGGCCCCGTGCTCTCTGATTGCCAATATCTTCGCGCGTGTATTGAAGAGAGCTTGCGCATTTCCCCGCCTGTGCCTGGTACTCTGTGGCGGGAGGTGCCGCCCAATGATGACGGACCGGTGGTGGTCGACGGGCATGTGATCCCGCGCGGGACTCTAATCGGCGTGAACACTTATACGCTTCATCATAACGAAGAATATTTTCCAGACCCCTACGAATTCAAGCCCGAGCGCTGGTTGCCTTCAGAGACGCCGGAGGCTCAAAGGAAGTTGATGTATTCGGCATTCACGCCGTTTTCCATCGGCTATCGGGGATGTGCAGGAAAGGCAATGGCCTATCTAGAAAACAGCCTCGTAATCGCCAAAACCATGTGGTATTTCGACTTCGAGAAAGCCCCGGGAAAACTTGGTGAAGTAGGGGGTGGAACACCTGGGGAAAGGGGTGGCAGGGGACGACGGGATGAATATCAGCTCCATGATGTTTTCTCTGGGTCCCACGATGGCCCTTATCTCGTGTTCCATCCAAGGGGTAACTATTGCGATAAACTGCCGATTGAAGGGTTGACATTGCTGTAAAAGACTTCCGTTTCGGCATAGCCTAGACTACACGCCTAGTTGCAGATACTGCTTGTGTGATGGTTATGATATTCCCTAAGCTCTTCGGGGGTTTCGACCCCTGAATAGCAGCACCATTCCAACAACTCACACATCTACTTCGATAAAATCTGACTCGAGAATACTTTTGATGTCGTCGATATTATCATACCGGATGTGAAAAGCTCCCAGCCAGCTATACAGCGCTAGGTGCAGCTCCATACAAAAAAGGGGTAACTGAGAACTACCCCTATCGTGACGTAAATGTACTAGCATACCTCCTACAAAGGTAAATCAAAGTCTTGTCGAAATTCAAGCGGAATCAAATTAGTAACATATTTATGTGTTAGTAAATATGGGGATTCAATTGGTTATATATCATGTAAGGTATAAAATCCCCAAACCAACAGCAGAGTCTTATTCGCTGATCTCCATTCACACATAAGCGCTCTCCACATTCGCAAGCACCCCCGGCAATATTGTCAGCATCCAACCCCCAGCCTGCTCTATTTCATGCTGTTGGTAGTTGTATGCTACATAGAAAATCTTGGCCAAGTCATGCCATCGAATGGCAGCGATCTCGTGCACCAACTACGAGAGGTAAAATTCTGTCGTTTAAAGAGGATCAACAAAACGGGGGAG